GGGGGGGGAGGAGGGGATAGCCTTGATTATTCAGGGTCATGGTAGATTTGAAGGAACACAGAATGTATGGAACAACGGTAGGACGATGACTTCTGTGACTCTGGAAGTGAGGAGGTAGTATTTGAATTCATATTTCCATCAGCTAATTTTGCGTGATTTGAGGCTCTTTTTTTGTCTAGCTTTTCCCAGTGATTTGTTTTTTCGGTTGCCAAGATCAATTCAAAGCTTTCAAAAATCAACTGTTTCTACTAACCTCGTGTTAAGTGTTTTCCCGAACCTAATGTCAGATGTTTTCCCGAACTTAATATTGTCGCGTTCTGTAGTCTTGTATGTAAAAATGTTTGTTTTGTAAACGACGCAAAAAAAAAGCCGAAATTCTTATTCTTCATTGTTTCACGGTGCTCTTCCGAGGCTGTTTCTTTTATTAATAAGGACTTTAAATTGTAGTGTTGCTGTTGGGCGAGCTTGGCTCGGTGCGATGCCCACGATCACACGAAATATCTCTGTCGTACGTAATGATGTTCAAATGAGCTGCGAAGAGAATCATCACAATTGGTGCTTGGTTCAGTTGATATTTGATTCGGATCCATATGCCATTAGTGACAGTCAATTTCCTCAGCGATGTTGCTGTCTCCTCTCCGACTAGCATTCGAGTTTGATCCAATAACGACAAGTTTATTGATCCACAGTTATCATGCATTCAAGTATATAACAGGCAGCGAGTTGAAAATTTACCAGAAGCATTAAAAAAACAGTTATTTCTCTTTAACTGGCTAGTTTTCTGGAAAAATTCTCGCGTTCAGTTCCTTTTTGCATTTTTGTTATCGACCCGTCTGCCACCTGCTCGTGAGGAGTCGATGATAAGGTTCAGATTTTGATCCACAAAATTCGTAGCAAAAACAACATGGGAGTTTTTCCCAGCTCCTCACTGTCATTAATGCACAAAGAAATATTTTTCGGTTGGCCATAACCATCACAAGCAATTAATACAGCCCGCAACCTTGTAAATTAGCTTGAATGATCATATCGATAACGCTATCCAGGATAATTTGCACCTGATTCGTATCTGTGGCACAGGTTTGATGAATATAAACTGTTTTTTCCGGATTGGCATTCAGTGCCTCGAATTTCTCCTCAATAAACCGCACTGAGTCTTCATATGTTTGTGGACCTTTAAAAGATAAATTTACAAATCAGAGATTTACTCGACAACACCATTCCAGTTATGAACTTTTTTCAAACCGAACTTGTTGTTCAAATCTCGAAAAAAAAAACCAGTTGAACATTTCTACAAAATTTTGAGCAGAAGCTAAGAGAAAAAAAGACCGTTGTATTCCGGAAAAGCAGTTTTGATAGAGACCCGTTTGATTTTCTCGGTGAACAAATCCTTTTTGTTCAAAAATAATATCATTGAAGTGTTAATGAACCATCGGCTGTTGCATATTGACTCAAATAAGCGCATGCTTTCAATCATCCGATTCTGGAAGCGTGAATTTTTTAGTCTGATATTTGAGTTTTGTTTTTTGAAATTAACAGATTTTCCAGGCAACTCATTTGCTGTTCACTGCTTCGAGTATTTTCTTCGATGTTGCAGAACGGCTGAGTAAATTTTCAGCAAGGCAAAGTTTTAAATTCACAGCGAACCTCAATTTCGCTACTCCGTCTTCACTCGCTCTTATTCTGAAAGGTGTGCATGTAATTCCTAGACAAATTTTCTTTTTCCGCGCCACATCTCCCATTTTCTACCAACCACTGCTGTTTGTCACACCAAGCCGGTGATGGAAATTTTTGGTTATTATATTGATTTTGATAAGTAGCAGCAATTTAAGCAGCTCCTTTCTCCCGACTGTCCCTGCGATGAGATAAAATAACACATCCGTTGTTCCTGAACATTCAGGGTAGCGACTGGTGAAGCTTATCTTTACTCTGTATAAAATCTAAAAATATGAAAAAATAAAATTTTGCAAAATGTAACATTTTACATTCTAGTCATAAAATGTAAAATTTTATTTTATCAACACTACAACCATCGTATTGACGAAACGCAGCTAAAGCGTCGAGAAATCGAAAAAAGAAACAAAACCATAACAAATAACTGTTTATTTCTCTTAATCACAAATTAAAAATTTTAAAATAAAACTAATCTTTATATGTATCATCAATTAATATTTCTAATACTGTAGCATCGAAGCATGAACGGATAGGCACGCACACTTATCCCAACACGCGAGCATATTTTTAAAGCTCTTTCATAAGCTGTTTCATAATTTTAAAATGTTTTTGGAAGAGACAAAGTGCTATAAGTTGCAGCACTAAATAATAATTCAGTATGTTTGCTTCGCAAATATTCATGGTAAACCGCTAAATAACGAGCGCCGTCCACGAGGACGGCAGAAAAGCTCTAGCCTAGTCAGCAGTTGCAGGTAACGGGCGCTCAGGGGGAATTCCGATCGCAAAAGAGCACTCTGCGAGAAGAAGCGCCAAGTAAAGCTATTGCCCACTGCTTCAATCACCACATATTGTTAACATTGAATAAGGTGATTTTGAAGTTTATAAATTTTTTTTTTGAATAAAAGGGCCTTTTTCAAAAGAAATAAAAATCCAGCAAATGTTCTACAGAAGGGAAAAAAGCTGTCGCTCATGCTTATGCAAAAGTTGCAAGTGATAATGGAATAAACACCAAAAAACTGTTAAAATATCACATTTCTAGCAATACTCCTCCACTTTAATTAAATTTTCCGCTGCCTAATTACCCTATTATTGAATGAATTCACTTGAAGGCACGAAATTTCAGTTACCGTAGTTTCGTCTTCGAAAAGCACTTGGTCATATTCGCTAATAGCTGCAATAAAAATAATTGCATTAACGTCCTCGAAACAATGAATCCATTTCTTACGCTCTGAACGCTGGCCTCCAACGTCAAATACTCTGAACACTGGTCATTTGTTTACAACAAGTTATTTTAAAATTCAAAAATGAATATATGGCGCCTTATAGCTAGCAGCTTACCGAAGCAATTTCATTTAAAAAGACACTAACGAAGTTATCTTAACTGCTTGCAAGAATGGGAACACTTTTTAATGGATAATGAAAAAAAAATGCGCCACCGAAATATTTTGAGTATTCAAAAAAAAAAAAAAAATTTGGCCGTCTTCTTCAATGAAGACTTCCGAAGAAAAACGATAGTGATAATTTTCCCAACAAAATTTTTTCACTAACAAGGGTAACAAAACGTTTGCTCACATTTAATTCAAGTTCCAGAAAAAGGTAGAACAACACCCCAATTATGATCGCACTAACGAAATCCTAACAACTATGATTAACACGATAGTGCAAAAGCACTTCGTGACATATCTGTATCTCCGTATTCACGCTTCTGAGAAATAGCTATGTCATGGAATGTTCCTCATGTTGGTATATCGGTCGACTGGAGGCTGCCACGTACACGTGTTATTTTTTTAAAGCAGATTAACCGCTTGTACCAATTGCTACCAGTTCCCAATAAAGTAGTGAACATGTTTTGCTCACCAAATTCTGCTTTTTCTTATGGTCATCGCAGTCACTCATCCAGCATATTCATTTATATAGTCGCCTTGAGATAATCCGAAATTCATTAGCTCTACCATTTTCTTCATCTCAGCACCAGTCACGTTTTCGCTCAGTGCACTACTTAACATATACAAAACGCCAGACAAAATGCTTCACAACAAATTTAAGTCAAATGGATGAAATTTCCAAAATCTAACGAGTGACGGTGTAAATGAATGGTGCTGAGATGAAGCGCTATTGGCGAAAAAGCATGCAGATGCACTAATGATTTAGAAACGCTGCGAAATTAGCTGTGGATTTACCGCGCAGTTGCTCGAGTGACTGTAATTAAACGCACAGTCAGTTACTGTTTATCCGGTCCATCTAAGAAGAAAATCAGACTGTGATCAATTAATATTTTTGAAAGGGTTTTTTGAGCATTTACCTGAAATCGACATTTTTCATCTTGAATTTCACTTCCACGATTCCAGTTGTTTTGATCCGACTCAATAAGATATCCTGTTCGGTGGGCTTGTAGCCGGGAAATGAGATGCGATCCACCGAATCAAGAAAACTTAAAAATTAGCATCTAGAAATTGACTTTCATTCGCATCAAATGATGAATTGGTTCCAGCATATGTTGGAAAGTCAAAGCCGCGGTCAGCTTGCCGGTAAGCAACCTTCGAAAAA